CGACTGTAACCACACCTGTGTGTTTTGGTGCCTCTCAAAGGGAGCAGGATCTTTGCAAAGAAGCAGCCTTAGGTGTGGAATTGGCTCACTGCAGGAAATTCTCCACTTTAGGGCTGGCTTAGGTTTGAGCACTGGAGGTACCATAGCCTCGAGAGCCTTAGAAAATGATGCCAGGAGTGGAGCCGCTGACAGTGTGCATGCATGGCACGTGATGGGGCTAGATGTTGACGGATGAGTGTGGTTAGATGTTCCTCTTGCCAGGATTTCTGCACCTGATATGAGGGCAAACATGTAAACTGTTGCCAGGCAGGACTCCTTTCTGAGCTGGGCCTCTGGGCACATCTGGTGGTGGCAGGTACTTGGAAAATAGCATAATTGCTATTCCAATTCAGCCTCACATTCCATCCAAATCAGAGACAGGGCTCTTTGATGTAACTTGCAGAGTGGATCAGCCAGGGAAGAGTACGTACAGTCTTGGGTTGTAGGTAGCATCTCTAGACCTCTGTGCAGTCCTGGTTCCAGCATGTCCTAGCTGTGTGGCCTCGGGCAAGGCACTTTAACTCTTTTTGACTTCATTTCTCCACCTTCAGGTTTCATGGGTTTTGTTATAAGCCCCAGAGTGTTGTAGATACCAAGCAAGTACTGTACTGTAGCTTCATGCTCCCAGCCTCCCACATGTCCATGCCATCCTTAGTCTAGCACTTTCTAGGAATATGTGAGGGTCAAATGACTTTTCTGGTCTCTTAGCAACTTTCTTCAAGGGCAGATTCAACCATTAGTGTTATTTCTCTGATTTCAGCCCAGTTCTGACACTCTAGGTTGTGAGCAATTTGGATAAATTGAGCAAAGGAATCTGTTCAAACAGAAAACCAACAGTTCTTTCAGGGGTACTGTTGGAACCAGTGCCTACGTAATTAGAACCATACAGTGTTTGCATTGTGAATTCAGTGCAGAGTACGGCATGCCAGAGGCTGTTTAGCCTAAGACGTCAAGAGTGTGGGGAGCTAGCAGAGATGAGACGTCCATCCGTCCATCCGTATGAAGAAGATGCTGCTGCTGAGCTACTGGATGGATGCTGGCTTATCTCCTGTGGATTACCAATGCTGGAGTCTTACGCTGGACTGTTTATTTAAAGAGTCCCCAGTCCCTCCCTCCCTCCCTCTCTCCCTTCCTTCCTTCCTTTCTTTTAAAAATTTATTGTAGTGTGTGCATGTGTGTGTGTGTGTGTGTGTGTGTGTGTGTGTGTGTGTGTGTCTGTCTGTCTGTCTGTCTGTCTGTCTGTCTGTCTCTCTGTCTGTGTGAGTGTATATGCACATGGATGTGCAGATGCCCAAAGAGGCTAGAAGAGGGTGTTGGATCTCTTGGATCTGAAGTTATAGGTATTTGTGAGCTCCCTGATGTGGGTGCTGGAATCTGAACTCTAGCCTCATGACTGAGCAGCAAGTCCCCTTAATTGCTGAACCGTTTCTCCAGCCCTTATTCCCTTCCTTTCTAGCCCCTCCATTGCATTTTCTGCTTCCTACGTTCCTAGACTGACGACAGCCTCAGCACAACTGAGAGTGAATCTTTTGTCCTGTTCATCTTTGCGTGTTGGGAACTTCTGGTGCCGAGTACCCGCGACAGTTGCTTGCTGTGTGTACAGGGAATAGTCGCTCTTTGTGCCCCTTTCCTCCTGACTTCGTCCTGATTTGTTTGTGGTTGTTAAAAATACTGGGGTTCAGATACAGGCTTGGATTAAGGATTTCTCATTACCTTCAGTTTATGACATGCTCCTATGGTCCTTTTATGGCGATTGTGTGTGTGTGTGTGTGTGTGTGTGTGTGTGTGTGTGTGTGTGTGTGATAGTTTAAACATACATGAAATGCATGAACTTGCTACCAAAACCAAAAGCAGACCCTAAATGATGGCCTATGTGGTAGCATATGCCCTGTTCCCACTGTCTCCAGTTACTTGAATCCGATCCTGAACCCTTCATTAACTATTACTTTGTTTCCCTCCAGTTCCTTCTTTCCTTTTTTTTTTTTTTTTTTTTTTGACACAGGGTCTCACTGTGAGGCCCAAGATGGGCCTCAGACTCGGGAGGCTTGTGCCACAGTGTTAGGGTTTCTATTGCTGTGAGGAGACACCATGACCACCACAGCTCTTAAACGGAAAACATTTAATTGGGCTCCCTTACAGTTTCAGCATAGAAGTGTGCAGGCAGATGTGGTGCTGGAGAGCCCACCATCTCACAGGTAACAGGAAGTGGAGGCACCGGGCAGTATCCTGAGCATAAGCCTCAAAGCCCGCCCCCACAGTGACACACTTCCTCCAACAAAGCCACACCTCCTAATAGTGCCACTTCTTGTGAGATTATGGGGGCCAATTACGTTCAAACCACCACACAGCTTCCTGAGTGCAGCATTTACAGGCATACCCCTCCATGCCCCACTGCTTCTTTGAAATAGAGTTTTTATTATTTCCATATATTTTCTAAAGAATAAAGGCTTTCATTGTGACTTGCTTTTAATTTTAATGCTGTTTTCACTAATGTATTTCCAAGATCCTTGATGAATCTCTTCACTTATTTACTGTTGTCCACAGCCACTTACGGAGTGGCAGTGCCATTTTTGAATGACCTGCTTTCCTGTAGCCAGGCAGTTGGGTTAGTCTCAGGAGTTTGCTCTTGTGAACAGGCTGCAATAAATATTTTTGCAGCTGATACCATCAAAAATGTGCAAGCCATTCTTTCTGAGTTCTGAGCTGAGGAGTTGTATTCCTGTGTTCTAAGTGTGAATCTACTGTAGGAGTGATGCCAAAGCAGCTTCTCAAGTTTTTATACCAATTCACACCCGCAGCACACCCTCTCTGATACTGCATTGCACTGTAAATCTGGGCAGCCTGAGTGTGTGAGATCCTATTGCATGTGGTCTGCTAGAACTGTTAACGTGATGATGGGAGGTACATTCTCCAGTCGTTACTGCCTCCTCTGTGAGACGCCTGTTTTTATTTTTGTCCATTTTTGAACTGTTTATAGTTCTTTTGATGCTATGAAAGGATCTGGTGTATGTTTTAGAGATTTAGGATTATTCTGTTCTCTGTTCAATTACGATTCTTCTGAGTATAATAACACCATAGTATTATTATTATTAACAACAATAATATTAATAACAAAACACTCTAAATCAATAGCAAACACTTCCTCCCCTGAGGATTGCTGCTCAAGCCTGGCAACTTGAGTTTGATTCCTGGAATCTACGTAAAGGGGGAAGGAGAACCAATTGTCTAGGGCTGTCCTCTGGCCTACACACACACACACACACACACACACACACACACACACATACGCACACGCACACACAAGCACACACACTCACACATGCACACACACGTGTACATACACACAAGCACACTCAAACATGCACACACGCGATTAATAACAGTAATAATTTTTAGAAACCTTTAAAATCCCTGAGAAGTTGCTGATGGAATCATTGTTCTGCTGACCTTTTACACTGTATGACATCTTGGCCGAAGGGGCAGGGTGCAGAGCTAGCCAGCACAACCTGTGGCCTCATGAACTGATCCAGGGCTTCAGATCTCCAAAGTGCTGCTTCTGAGTCCTAGAAATGTCTTTATGTAATATCAAAAGATAAACATCTACACAGACAGCTCAGCACAAGGAAGGAGCAGTTGTACCACACAAAAACATTTTGTACACGAGCACATTTGTCTCCACACCAGAGCCAAGCTTATCTCTGAACATTTGAGAATTATTGAAAATGCCGCAAGAGCTACCCATTTGCCACAGCGTACTTCTGAGGAGGGGTGAGCGTAACTTTGCTCCTTTACCTTCCCTCTCTTTCATGCTGCTTATACTCTGGGGTAACTTAGTTTGGGAGTGGAGTATTTCAGTCTCTGAGGTCCATCCCTGGTGAGGAAGCAGGACTCTTTGAGCTGGGCAATGTCGGGAGGCAGAGGCAGGTGGATCTCTGTGAGTTCAAGGCCAGCCTGGTCTACAAAGTGAGTTCCAGCACAGCCAGGTCTACACAGAGAAACCCCGTCTCAAAAAACCAATGTGTGTGTGTGTGTGTATGTGTGTGTGTGTGTGTGTGTGTGTGTGTGTGTGTGTGTGTGTGTGTGTGTGTCCAAACACAGGGAAGACCAAGGCTCAGCTTTTTGCCTGGTAAACAGCTGTAAACTTCTGCATTGAAAAGCACAGAGTAGAACAAAACAGAAATCAAAACCAACTGCCTGCCAAAGAGAGCAGCTCATTTAGGGGCTGGCTGTTCTAACACCAGACGTCACCCCAGGTAAAAACACCCCACTTTACCAACTGAATGAGCTGCTTCTCACTCTGGCACTGGCAACCTCATCTCGCCATTGATCTCTGAAGTCTCCTTCAGTGCTTAAGTCAGTAGGGACCGGCTGGCCCCCGTCTTTGCTCATGTTGGCTGTTCAAGTTGGAACACTTTCTTGTCTGAGGCTAAAGACCATTTACCAGAGACCTCTTCTCCACTCTCTCCAGACAGTCCATGGTGGACTGTGCTCTGCCTTAGACCATGGCATCCGGTACTGTGCAGAGGCGCCTGTTGGATCCTAGGCTTCCCCGCGATAGTTTGTACACTTAGCACCTCTGCTGGGATTGTGAAGGGAATCCTCTTCACACCAGTGCCTCACACAGAGCTGCTAGGATGGGGATTTGGAGTCTAGGGGGCTTGTTAAGGAGAAAAATCTTTGCATGTCCAATACAGAAAGCTTTTTGTGGAGCCTTGTGTGGGTCGAGGTACACAGAGCTATGATGGACAGAAGGAAACAACCTGAGCTACAGGTAACATGGTTTCACACCAAGTGAAAAAGAAAATACCTGCCTGATTGCGGTCTTCAGAGCTGCATATTGCCATGCAGCTCGACAGCATCTGTAAGCTAGTAGACAGCAGTCTTGGTGGGACCATTTCTTTTGCTAAACTGATGCAAAAACATTCCTTGAAATGTTTAAAAAGACCTTTTCTCCTCCTCAGGGCCAGTTCTGTGACTACTGTAATTCTGAGGATTCCAGGAAGGCACATCCGGCCACCCATGCGATTGATGGATCTGAACGTTGGTGGCAAAGTCCCCCTCTCTCTTCAGGAATACAATACAATGAAGTCAACCTCACCTTGGATCTGGGTCAGGTGAGGTTTGCTTTTGAGTGGAACGGGATATTGGTTTGGATCACTGTTTCTGTGATGATTTCTGACATGAAAAAATTATTGTCAAAAATAAACATTAGTTTTAATCCATTCATTGTTTTCAACCCATGACATTGATATTTGCTTCCTTTAAAACCCAGACCAGCATGAGTCACCTTGTCTATTATTAAGTTTAAAACACAGTGGTAGGGATCGGAGATATGACTCAGTTGGTAAAGTGCCTGCTGCACAGAGATGAGGACCTGAGTTCAGTCCCTCAGAATCAACATAAAAGCCAGGCATGGTGGCGGCTGTAACCCAGTGCTGGGGAGGTGGAGACAGGAAAATCCTGGGGTTTGCTGACCAGCCAGCCTAGTCAAATCAGTGAGCTCCGGGTTCAGTGAGAGACCCTGCCTCAAAAAAGAAGATGGAGAATGATTGAGGAAGAGACTCAGTGTTGACCTCTGGCCTCCACACACAAGAGCACATATGTGTGTACATACCCTCACACATACACCTACATGCATACACATAAATATATAGTTGTGAATATTACGAAAATATTCTTTATTATTATTTTAATTGTGTCATAATGCAAACATAAAGTTATCATTTTCACCGTTTAAGCGTATTGTTCAGTGGCGTTTACTACCCTGACATTGCTGTACAAATACCATCACCGTCCACAGTCTGCACCTCTCTGTCTTGTAAAGCTGAAACTCCCCACCTGGTCCTTCCTCCCTCCCTCCTGTAATCCAGGCAGCCACTTTCTGGGGACTGATATCTCTAGGACTGTCACATAAGTGAAATATAAAACTTGCCTTTTTGCGGCTAACCTAAGCTTTCAAGCTTTTGTACCATGTGCCAACATTTCCTTCCTCCTCTGGGCTGAATGAATAGCATTCCATGTATTTCTATCTACCTTTGTGTCCCCATTGATGGACACTTGGGTTACTTCCAGCTTTGGGCTATTGTGAATAGTGCCATCAAATACATGGGTGTGGTGATTATGTTTTTATTGCATTCTTCTTCCTGGAAATTCTGAATCACTGAACAATGAATACCATAATTTGGAGCCTTATTTGGCCAACTGGTCCACAGGGAGGCAAGTTTGAGGTCTATCCTGTGTAGGCTATGAGGGTCCCAAGATGGATGCTCCTGGTGCATATAACATGCAGTCCATCCCCTTGTCCTTGAGCACAGGCAGCCTTGTGACTGTCATAGATGTGACTCCCATACTCAGGTGGCATTGTATGACAAGCATGAGCAATTTTTGTGAGGGCATTTATAGTCCCGTAAGCCAGTTGATTCAGATGGGGAGGTTTTCTCTGATGAGTAGAGTTTCCAATGGGATTGCACCTTCTGAGGGGAGACATTTGACCCTTGAGAGACTCCCCTACTAGACTGAAAGGCAAACACTGTCAGGTTGTGTACTTCCCCTGGAGACAACCATGGGGCAAAGATCTGAAAGTAGGTTCCCAAAGCTGAAGGTGGCCCCAGCCAACAGCCGACAGAGCAGCATTCAGCTGACAGCTTGATTGCACTTTTGATCTTGAGCAGAGAACTTGGCCAAGCCGTGCCTGACTCCTAGCCAGTACTTTGAGATAATAAATGTGTTATTTCAAGACATTAAGCTTAAGGTACTTTGTTATGCCCAAGCAGAAAATGAATACGACTTACTCTCCCTGAGGAAGTTCAGACTCTTCCTTTTAACATGTATTTATTACATTTCTTCCATGTGCCAGACACTGCAGTAGGCACCTGGGATATATCACAGATCCTAAATGTATGCATAGTAAACTCGTGTGGTGTGTTTGAAACTGAAAAGGGCAATGGAGGGCTGAAAAAGCCAAGCAGGCTAAGGTGTTGCCTGTCAGGGACAGTTGTAGCTGCAGCTTTTTGGTCGGCTCTTCAGAGCAGAGGTTACTGGGGACGTAAAGCTGAAGCAGAGTTCTGAAGCATGTGAAGGGCTTTGTCATGCACATCGATGCCTGTAGCACGGATCCTAATTGGTCTTATCTGACTCCGGGTTATTATTAATATCAGGGTGAAAGCTGAAAGATCAGAGAAGCAGAGCAGCCAGCCACTAGTTCTTACCTCTATGAAATCCTCAGCCTGAAAGGGAAATGAGCTCCTGTCTCCTCCCGCCTTATATTCCTCGCTCCACCCGCCTTATATTCCTCTCTCCACCCAGCCATATCACTTCCTGTCTCCACCTCCCTAGTGCTGGGTTTAAAGGCGTGTTTGTTTCTCATTTAGACTGGATCAATCTTGTGTAGACCAGGCTGGCCTTGAACTCACAGAGATCTGTCTGCCTCTGCCTCCCCAGTGCTGGGATTAAAGGCGTGCGCCACCACTGTTTGGCCTCTATGGTTATCTAGTGGCTAGCTCTGCCCTTTGGTCTTCAGGCAAGCTTTACTTGTTAAAGCACAGACAAAAGATCGCCACAGATGCGTGTCGCCCAGACAAAGGGAACAGCTCTCCCAAACCCCTAAGACAGAGTTTATATGAAAAGCAAAAGGAGCAGCACGGAGGCCAGAATGAGCAAGGAGGAGGTGGCATCGGGAGAAGAGGACGCGGAGGAACAAGCCACAGGGGACTGGAAAATGAAGCGAGAGTCAGTTGGGGGTTTTGAGTCTAGGATGGACATTCTCGCTGCGTATCTTAAAGTCATCTCTTTGGGAGTCCTGTAGCGGCGTATAAGGAGCTGAGTGGGAGGAAGATAACCATAGCCCATGAGGAAGATGCTGGTAGCAGCCGTGGAGGCGAGCGATTGGATGATAAAGCTGCCGCGATGTCATAGTGGGTTGCAGTGGGGTTAGAGAAAGGGAGGACTCAGGGATGACTCCCTGGACCCTTGAGCACCGCTGTTGACAGAAACATCTGTGGGAAGACCACACATCTGGTGCTGTGGGTCTGGAGGGCTGTCTGGAGGAGAAGTAGAAGTTGACTGTAGATTCCTTTAGTCTCGTCCGTGCTGGCTTCTCCCAGCAGCTTCTCGAGTCTGTTGATTTAAGCTTTCCATCCGCTTTGAACATTTCAAGCCATTATTTCATTGAACAATTCTCAGTACTTTTCTCTGGGATTCTGACAACAAATGTTAGCTTTAAAAAATGTGTGTGTGTGTGTGTGTGTGTGTGTGTGTGTGTGTGTGTGTGTGTGTGTTGGTGCGAGTGTTTATCACATGTGTGCAGGTGTCTGCAGAGGTCAGACCCTCGCCCTCAGGAGCTGGAGTCACAGGCTGTTGTGAGTCTCTGGACATGGGTGCTGGGAACTAAACGTGAGTCCTCTAGAAGAGCAGCAAGCCCTCCTAACCGCCCAGCTGCCTCCCCAGCCCCCAAACGTTAGCTCTTTCGTTACTGTTCTCCAGTTCCCTGGTGCTGTGCACGTCTTTATTTTCCAGTTGATTTTTTTTCCTTTTTTTTTTTTTTTTTTTTTTTTTTCCAGTTGGGACAATTTGTATTGTCCTGACTTCAAGTCCACAGATTATTTTGTATTTTACCCCGATAACATTCTCAGGCCCACAGAGAAAATTTGAACTTTGCCTCCTGTGCTTTTCAGCTCCCTTTTCTACTTGTTCTTTGTTGTATGTTTTATTTATTCACGGAGGACTTTTTGTTTCAGAGTACTTATGATCATTTATTGGAGCATTTTATGATTGTTGACTTAGAGAATTTCTCATATTCTATCATATGATTAATTGTCTCATTGTCTTTTCAAGTTGTGATTTTTCCTGTTGTGATGAATACTTCCAGCTGGATTCTAGTTCTTTTGAAAATGATGTTAGAAGACCACTCTAGGCTCTAAAAGCCTTCTGTCTTAGCCAACTGTCTTTACTGTGGTGTAGGTCCTGGTGCCTTTGTGAGCTGTGGTTTCAATCATAGTTTTCAGTTCTTGCAGTACGGTTCGTCTGTGTTGTTCACCCGGTACCTAAGTCTTTAGGAGCAGAATGGGTTTCTCTTACCCATTTAGTAGAGGACATGAGGCACTGGGCATTTGGGGGCACAGGCTGCTTCTCCCAGACCACTGCCTGAGATTGCTGGTGAGAAAGTGAGAACATAAAGATGGAATTAAACTGGGAAATTGGATGAAAGTCAGAAGAGAAGAGGATCAAGGGTGAGTCCTGCGACTCACCAACACCGAGAAGTCGGAGAGAAGGGAGGAATCAGTCAGAAAGATTGGCCTGGGTCAACAAATGCTGGAGGAAGTCAAACATGAGAAGGAGTGGGGAAAGGAGGAGGTTTGCAAGTCAACACTACAACGAGTGCAATAAAAAACACAGGCAAAAGATCCGAGTATAATCAGTACTCCAAAAAAGATTTACGTGCGATCATCAAGCCCTCAAAAGCAGGCTTAGCATCATCAGTCACCAGGAAAATACAAATCAAAACATAATGGGGGGCAGGAGAGATGGGATGTCGGTTACAAACAAGCACTGCTCCTCCAGAGAAGTTCCCAGCACCCATGTCAGGCGACTCACAACGACCTGTAACTCCAGTTTAGGGGATCTGAAGCCCTTTTTCCTGCCTCCATGGACACTTGTGTTCATATGCACATACCTCCTCCCACATAATTAAAGATAAAGCAAATCTAAAAATATAACTATCATTGTAATAAGATACTACTTGATATTGATTTAGATTGTTATAATAAAAATTTTGATAGTCACAAATGTTGATGAGGCTGTGAAGAAACTGGAACACATTGCTGGTAGAAATACAACATGGTGTAGCTGCTTTGGAAACCTTTGGTAATTCCTCACAAAGTTAAGCACAGAGTGAGCATATGACTCAGTGGTCTCACTTGTAATTTGTGCCCAAGAGAAATGAGCACATGTACCCACAGAAATCCCACTCATCAGCCATCACTGTAGCACTGTTCATAACAGCTAAAAGTGGAAGCCGCTCGACGGTCTGCCAACTGATGAACGAGTAAACCAGAGGCATCATGTCCACACAGTGGGTTGTTATCCAACAATAAGAGTTGTAAAGTCTCCATGAAAG